GATGTGGAGGAGGCGCAGAGGGTCAGAGCCTTTTATTGGGCGGCCCGGGCGCGGCCGGCGGGGTCACCGGTACAGGTAGTCGGCCTGGATGTTGGCCGCGATCTCCGCCTCCCACTTGTCCCCGTTGTTGAGCAGCTTCTCCTTGTTGTAAAGCAGCTCTTCGTGTGTCTCCGTGGAGAACTCAAAGTTGGGGCCCTGCCAGGGCGGGGGGCACAGGCAGGCTGGGCTGCGTCAGGAGCCCCCAGGGAGCGCCCCTGCCCTGCCACCCTCCACCGACGCCCCTGCCCCATCCCTGCCCACCTCCACGATGGCGTCCACAGGGCAGGCCTCCTGGCAAAAGCCACAGTAGATGCACTTGGTCATGTCGATGTCATAGCGTGTGGTGCGACGGCTGCCGTCAGCCCTGGGCTCTGCCTCGATGGTGATGGCCTTGGAGTGAAGAGTGGCCACTGGTACTGCCAGGCTGCCCGGCAGGTGCCCAGCCCCCGCGTGCCCTCTCACTTCCTCCCGGTGTCTGACCCACTGCTCCCGCCCACGTGCCTGTGGGTTTGCTGATGGCCGCCATCTCCCGCTGGGGGCGAGGTCACAGACCCCAGGGCGCACACCCCCGCCCAGTGCCGCTGCACCTGCGGCCCCAGGTGTCTCACCCCGTTCTGAGCGCTCCACCACCACCATGTGTCGGACAACCCTGCGGCTTCAGTCTAGGGGATCCCATTACCAGATGAGAAAACAGCTCAAGAAGCTGGGCGCTCCCCACTGCAAGGTCCCAGGAGAGCAGAGAGCAGCCTTGGGGGCTGCCAAGGCACTGGCCAGGATCGACGGGGGCTCAGCAGTGACCCCTGAGCCCACAGCACCACTGCCAGGAACACTAGGTCCACTGCACGGGGAACTCTGCCTGCTGGCTTCTTTTCTTTTTTAAAGATTTATTTTTATTGGAAAGTCAAATATACAGAGAGGAGACACAGAGAGGAAGATCTTCCATCCGATGATTCACTCCCCAAGTGAGCGCAACGGCCAGAGCTGCGTCGGCCCAAAGCCAGGAGCCAGGAGCTCTTCCGGGTCTCCCACGTGGGTGCAGGGTTCCATCCTCGACTGCTTTTCCAGGCCACAAGCAGGGAGCTGGATGGGAAGTGGAGCTGCCGGGATTAGAACCGGCACCTATGAGGGATCCTGGCGTGTACAAGGCGAGGACTTTAGCCGCTAGGCCACTGCGCCAGGCCCGCTGGCTTCTTTTCTATGTCTGTTAAAGTGTGAGTATGAACAGCCCTGTGCCATAGCCAGTAAATCCTGTCTGTGCTGCCACAGCAATCCATAACGGTGCCGGTTACGGCCACTTGAGTAATGAACCAGCAAATGAAAGCTAGTTCTCATTCTCCTTTTTAAAACTCTGCATTTTGGGCCCGGCACAGTAGCTTAGCAGCTAAAGTCTTTATCGTGCATGTGCCAGGATACCATATCGGTGCCGGTTCTAATCCCGGCAGCTCTGCTTCCCATCCAGCTCCCTGCTTGTGGCCTGGGAAAACAGTGGAGGACGGCCCAAAGCCTTAGGATCCTGAACCCATGTGGGAGACCCAAAGGAGGCTCCTGGTTGGCGCAGCTCGGGCCGTTGTGGCTGCTTGGGGAGTAAATCATCAGATGGAAGATCTTCCTCTCTGTCTTTCCTGCTCTCTGTATATCTAACTTTGCCTAAAAATAAATAAATCTTTTTTTTTAAGATTCATTTTATTTTTTTTATTGGAAAGGCGGATATACAGAGAGGAGAGACAGAGAGGAAGATCTTCCATCCGATGATTCACTCCCTAAGTGAGCCGCAACGGGTCGATACTATGCCGATCCGAAGCCAGGAGCCTCTTCCGGGTCTCCCATGCGGGTGCAGGGTCCCAAAGCTCTGGGCCGTCCTCGACTGCTTTCCCAGGCCACAGGCAGGGAGCTGGATGGGAAGCGGGGCTGCCGGGATTAGAACCGGCGCCCATATGAGATTACGGGCGTGCAAGGTGAGGACCTCAACCACTATACCATCGCACCAGGCCCAAAATAAATAAGTCTTAAAAACAACACTCTACCTTTCAAATAAATTTTACGGTCCAGTGCAGTAGCCTAGTGGCTAAAGTCCTCGCCTTGCATGAGCGGCCAGGATCCCAGTTCGTGTCCTGGCTGTTCCAATTCCCTTCCAGCTTCCTGCTTGTGGCCTGGGAAAGCAGTGCATGACAGCCCAAAGCCTTGGGACCCTGCACACGTGTGGGAGACCCAGAAGAGCTCCTGGCTCTGGTTGGCTCAGCTCCGGCCACTGTGGTCACTTGGATGTGACTCATCAGACGGAAGATCTTCCTCTCTGTATCTCCTTTCTCTGTAAATCTAACTTTGCAATAAAAATAAACAAATATTCAAGTAAGTTTAAAAATCTGGGGATGGTACGGTGACATAGTAGGCTAATCCTCTGCCGTGACACCAGCATCCCGTGTGGACACTGGTTCGTGTCCTGGGTGCTCCACTGCTGATCCAGAGCCCAGGCCAGGAAACCTGGGCATGGTCTCAAGACACAGGCAGGAGCTGTCAGGAGCGGGAACAGAGGGGTGCCTGCCTGCCTGTCTGCCAGCTGGCCTCACCCCAGACCACAGCCGGGGTCTAGCAGTGTGTGTGCAGTGGGGGGACCTGGACTACCCCTCCTGCAGCCAGTGGGGGCCTGAGGGCCCAAGGCTCCGCGGGGCGGGCGGCTCACCTGCGCCGGGCACACGGCCTCGCACAGCTTGCAAGCGATGCAGCGCTCCTCCCCGGACGGGTAGCGTCGGAGGGCGTGCTCCCCGCGGAAGCGCGGGCTCAGCGGGCCCTTCTCGAACGGGTAATTGATGGTGGCCGGCTCACGGAACAGGTAGCTGAGGGTCATGCCGAGCCCTGCAGGCGGCACGGGGTGCAGGTGCTGAGCAGGTGGGGCGGGACGGCCCTCTATCCTCCACCCCTCCACATCCCGAGTGGGGCGCACCTCGAATGAGCTCGGTCCACATGAGGGTACGTGCCGCCCGGTCGGTCACCGACTTCATGTCCATCTCGGGCTCCTGCATGTTGACGTACTCTGCGGGAGGCAGGAGAGCAGGCCGCACATGCAACTCAGCCCCTCCCGGGCAGCCCGGCGGGGAACGTGGGGGGCTCGCCTCCAAGTGGGACAGCAGGGCCCCCCGGGCGACACCTCTCCAGGTCCAGGCCGACTTTAAGGAGGAGGCAAAGGGCCAGACTGCAGCCTCCCTCCTCCCAGGCCCCCAACAAGAGGCGCTGTCCACGTGTCCTGGTCACCTGGGAACTGGGCTGGGAGAGGGGGGGCCCCTGCTACCTGGGGACCCGCTGCCGGGACTCTGCCCTCCCCAGCAGGCCACAGCCACCTCCAGGGCCCACGCAGACACTCACTGTAGGTGGCGGCCACTGCACTGCCGTGGAGGCTCCTGCCAGCCTGAGGTCCTACCAGGAGAGGAGGATGGCTCTGGGCCCTGCCAGGTGCTGGCAGCCTGGGCTCCCCGCACCCCCAAGAAGGGCACCCCCACGTCCTACCTGCGCCAGCAGCCTGGGCCAAGGCCCGCAACAGCACGGCAGACGACAGGCAGCGCATCTGGGGAGCATGGAAAGGGAGGGGGCTGGGGCGCGCTCCGGAACTGCCCCTCCTCCAGCAACAGCCCAGGACCCCCACCCTACCCCATCGCCCCAGCCAGGGGCAAGACGGCCCCTGACCCCACGCATGCCCCGCCTGCCTCCGCTGGGCCCCAAGTTCCACACGTCTCACCTCCTAAGAACTTTATGACTTTTTTATTATTATTATTGATTTGACAGGCAGAAGGGAGATGCCCACGGTGGCTGGGCCCAAGCAGGGGGGCGTGGAACTCTGTCTCCCACGTGGGTGCCGGGACCCCTCGGTGTGTGTACCTGTGGACCCGGGGTACGCACCAGCTATGGACTGTCCCCAACATCCACCGGGAAGGACACGCCGGGCTGCGGGAGGCGCTCATAGCCACACACGCCGAGTGGACAGGCCTGCAGCCCTGAGTTAGTCCTCGCCATCACCACCCGCCGGCCACGAAGGCCCGGTGACCTTGCTGAGGGACGCCACCCGCTCTCGGCCTCGTCACGCGTGACCGTGCAGGGGCAGCGAGGGCTGGACTGGGACACCCGCCTGGCCACCCACGCGGACCCTTCTCCGACCTTCCCCGTGCCCTCTGACCCCGCGGACGCAGAGCGGGAGGCCCCGAGCGGCGCATGCGCCCCGGGAGGCACCGGCTGCCCGTCAGTCCGCTGCCAGCTGAAGGACACAGAGGCCGCGAGCCCCGAGCCGGCCGGGATGGGCTCCGAGCGCGGGCCGGGCGGGGCCGACACCGCACGCGCCCCCGACGCCGCGCCGGCCCGGCCGGCCTTCGCAGCCGAGCCCCGGGACCCACCTCGAGGCGCCGCCGCTCCTTCCTAGCCGAGCCGGCCGGTCAGCCCGGAGGCGGAGCCTACGCTCTGGGCCTCTGCCAGGGGGACGGCGAGCTTCGCTTTCTCCCCAGCGATGCTCTATGCTCTGTCCTCATTGGCTACGGGCCTGCTCAAAGGGGGGGTCTGAAGAGATCTCTGCTCTGGTTGGCTGAGGCGCCCGCGGGCACTTGAAGTTATGTAGGGTGTCGCCATGTCAGTTCCGAGAGGCCAATTACTGAGGGCCCCGGGGGCTGTGGAGGCGGGACTTCCGGGGCGTGGCTGAGGCCGTGGCTCCCGTAGGTCAAGGGCGCTGCTGGCCGGGCCAGCTGGGAAGAGCAAGCTCGGTGTGCCCGGCTGTGTCTGACACGGTAACGATGGCGAGTTCGGTGGCAGCCGCCGCCTGCGAGCGACTCCGCGCCCTCTGGGGCGCTGCCCTTGAGGCCGCAGCGGCGTGTGCCCGGGGCTGCGCACTTCAGGCCCCTCCTGTCCACCCGTGCGTCAATGGCGCGGTTCAAGGACGGCCCAGCCCGCCCTGGCCCTGGCCGGAGAGCAGGCAGGACACCAGGCCGGGAAAAGTCGGGGCCTCCGCGCCCTGCTTTAATCGCCATCGCAGACTCGGAAGGCATCCATGGCACAGATGGGGGAGCTGAGGCCGGGGGCGCGGGCAGGTGGCCGGGGCCGCCCTGCGCTCAGAGCAGCGTGCATGGGCAGCGGCGCTCCTCCATGGCCATCAGCAGCAGCCGCAGACGGCGCGCCGAGTACGGCGGGTAGCGGAGCTCGTTGAGCTTCTCCAGGCCCGAGCTGCGCAGCAGGCAGGCGCGGCGGTGGGAGAAGGTGTCGAAGGAGAACCTGCCGTGATAGCTGCCCATCCCGCTCGTCCCTGCGCAGGACACGGAGGGGAGCGGGTGGTCAGGGCGGCGCTCGCCGCCAGGCCACAGGTGGCAGGCGTGTGCCTGGAGCAATGTGGGGAGGGACAGATGGGCCAGGCCAGGAGCTGCCCACTGTTCCCCCCCAGTGGAGCAGGCAGGGTGAGAGCCTAGGGGTGCCCAGGAACGGGCACCGAAACCAGGCTACGAGGGACGTCGGCCCCGCCACTCCACCGGGCAGGAAGCAGGTGCAGAAAGAGCCTGTCCTGGGGCACCCAGCCCACTTCCCCTGTTTCCCGGGGCGGGGAGGGGGGCATGCACATGGGTGTGCGTGTGCTGCACCCGGTTGTGGAATTGGCAGCAAAGCCAGGCCGGGCGCTGTGGCTTTGCAGTCAGAGGGCACCCATGCATGTGTGGACACAGGCAGGTCTGGGGGCAGCAAGCGGGGCTGGGCCGTCCCTCGAGGCTGGGGTGGGCTCAGACCCCATCGGGAACTCGCCATCCAGTGAGCGGCCACACGTACCCACTCCTCCGAAAGGCAGGCTGCCCAGGGTCATGTGCATAAAGCCGTCGTTGCCACAGAAGCCCCCGCTGCTGGTCCGTGCCAGCACCTGCTTGACCACCTGGGAGAGAACAGCGTGGTGTCGGGGCAGCGTGGCCTGTGGCCGGCTGAGCTCCTTGATGGTGCTGGGACTCAGCCCTGGTGGGGGTGGAGGTTCAGGCAAGTGGGTGCCCAGAAATGCCAGCTCACCCAGGTGTCCCTAAGCAGGCCTTCCTCCTCAGCCCGCAGCTGCTCCGAGCAATGAACGGTCAGTATAACCGGACACGGTCCTTGTGCAGCCATGGCTTGGCCCTGTGTGGTGGCATTTGCCACCAGCCAGCTCACAGAGGGTGGTGTGACCCCTCTCCGGTGGGCTCAGACCTTGCCTCCTGGCATGGGGGCAGGGGCACGTTAGCACCCTGGGTCCCACACCCCACTGCCCAAGACCAAGACACAGGGAGCTTTGTCGAGGTGGTAGAGCGTGCCCCAGGTGTGTGCTGAGCTCAGGGCTTCTTAGAAAACCCGAGGGAAGGGGGTGGCTGTGCCAGCCACCAGCCTGGGGCACGACAGGGACAGTGTGCCCCCAGTGCCCGAGGCGTGTGGTCTTAGATTTGAGCCCACAGAATGAGGTCATTATCACTCCTGCAGGTCTAAAGAACTGAAGAGGGAAACCCTTCTAAGACCCCCCATGACCTCCCTCAGCAGGTGGGCGAGCGGCTGAAAAGGGGGGAGTGGCACCTCATGACCCGCCCAGCCCAGGCCCCACCCACCACAGCCCAGGCTGGAAGTGGAGTCCTGGCTGCAGGTGGATCCCAGGCAGCCCTGGTGGTCCGCGAGCCAGCCGTTAGCTTGGCCAGGAGAGGCAGGCGGGCAGGCTGAGCCCCCACTCCTGACTCAGGCCCGGCCATCCAGGACCCTGGAGCCCCAAGACGGGAATGGATGCACAGGGGCCGGTGCTATGGTGTAGCATGTTAAAACACTGCCTGTGGCGCCAGAGCCCATAAGGACACCAGTTTGAGTCCCAGCTGATCCACTTCCAGCCCAGCTCCCTGCTCGTGCCCTTGGGGCGGCTGAAGGACTTGGACCTGGAAGAAGCTGTGTCCCGGCCATTGTGACCATTTGAGGAGTCAATGGCAGGTAAAAGGTTTCTCTTCTCCTTTCTTTGTAATTCTGCCTTTCTAATAAATAAATCTTTAAAAACAACAAAACAACGAAGCGTGTGGAACCTGGCTGACTTCAGGTGCCAGACCCCTGGCAGGGCTGCCCTGTGTGCCTGCGCACTGACCCCACATGCCGAGGTCGTGAGAAGCCGTTGCTGGGGGAGGGCAAGCAGGGCATGCTCTGTGCCTTCAGGGCCCCCGAAGTGCCCCACGGGGAGACCTGGCCTCAGGCACAGCTGGCATGTTGTCCCTGACTGGCCACCAGCAGCCAGTGCCAGGGGACACTGCAGCCACCAAGCTTAGACAGCGGGTGGGGGCAGGAGGCGGGAAAGGAAGTGTGGCTGCCCTGGCCCCTCCACCACCTGCGGTCACCTGTAGCCCCCCACTCCTGCCCAAGCAGCCCTCCGGCCCCACCTGGTTGTTGTTGGAGAAGGCATACAGGGCCAGCGGCTTCTCGCGGCGGTTGATGAAGGCGATGGCCTCGTCCAGGCTGCCCACGGTCATGATGGGCAGGATGGGCCCAAAGATCTCTTCCTGCATCACCGGCTCCGCCTCCTGCACGTCCACCAGCACCGTGGGCGCTGCGGGCACAGAGGGGTTCAGCCCAGGGCGGGGGTGCTGTGGGTATGGGGAGGCGGGGGAAGCTGGGGACACAGAGGGGTCAGGATGCGGAGCGCCCAGGACACAGGACAGCTCGGCCCGGGGTCAGGCTGCAGCCTCGGGGGACAGCAGGTGCAGGGACCCTCGCTCAGCTCACACACAGCTGCGGCCGAGGCACTCACCGATGTAGCGCTGGCTCTCGTCGCTCTGCCCACCGATGGCCACGCGGCCACAGCGCAGCAGGGCCTGGAGCCGCTGGAAGTGCTTCTGGTTGATGATGCGGCCCAGGTTGGGGGAGGTGCAGGGGTCTTCACCATAGAAACGGGTGATGGCGCTCTGCAGGGCGGGCAGCAGGCGCTCCCGCGTCTCGGGGGTGCACAGGACGTAGTCCGGGGCCACGCAGGTCTGGCCGGTGTTGAAGTAGCGGAACCAAGTCACACGGTTGGCCACGGTCTGGGGGTCACAGTTGTCGTCCACGTAGCAGGGGTTCTTGCCCCCCAACTCCAGGGTGACGGGGGTCAGGTGCTTGGCAGCAGCTGTCATGACAATCTTGCCCACATGGGGGTTCCCTGGCATGTACCATGAAAAGAAACCATGGCCCGGGTTGGGAGGGTTGTGGGGGTGATCCCTAGAGCCCGGAGCCAGCCCCTGACCACACAGCACCTCCAGCAAGGCCCCAGCCCCAAGGCGCTCACCTGTCTGCCTCTGACCCTTGCCAGCCCAGCAGGTTGAGTACTGGCTGTACTGGCTCCCCGCTCCTCCTGTCCCGCGCTGGCCTCAGCGTCCGTGGGCAGGGCCCTGGCCTGGCCACAGGAGCTGCGGCCTGGAGTCCACCCAGGCAAGCTCATAGCCAGCCCCCACCCCGCCCTCCTGGGTCGGTGGCCCCCAGCCCGGCTCTGGCCTCACCCGTGAAGAAGATATAGTCGAATCTGTGTTCCAGCAGCCGCCCTGTCTCCTCGGGCCCGCCCAGCACCACGGCGAAGCAGCTCTGCGGGTGCGGCGCACAGGCGGGAGGTTTGCTCCAGTCCCGTCCACCCATGCCCTGCGCCCCTGCCCCACTGCCTGGCTGACCCAGGGTAGCAGGGACAGAGGCTGGGTGCCCCAGCGGGCGAGGAGTGTTGTCCCCCAGGGTGTGGGAGTCCAGAGGCAGTGACACAGTGACAGCACCCTGATGTCAGGCTCATTAGGGAGCCAGGCCGAGGTCGCCGTGAACCAGGCAGCATGGTGTTAGCAGCCAGTATCTGTCCATGCCAGGCTGCCTGGCCTGCAGGACCCCTCCTGTCCCTTCTCCATGTGGCCCCAGCAGGCTCACCTGGTCCAGGTAGCGTGGCAGCACCTCAGCCAGGACCTTCTCAATGCTGGAGCTCACCTCTGAGGGCTTCAGCACCACGCAGTTCCCTGCAGAGCCACAGGCAAGGCGGGGGCCAGCCAGGGAAGTGTGGCCATGCCTGCCCTGCACACCTGCTGTACACCCTGCCCTGCACGCCTGCCCTGCACGCCTGCCTTACACCCCTGCCTTACACCCCTGCCCTGCACCCCTGCCTTACACCCCTGCCCTGCACCCCTGCCCTGCACGCCTGCCTTACACCCCTGTCCTGCATGCCTGCCCTGCACCCCTGTCCTGCACGCCTGCCCTGCACCCCTGCCTTACACCCCTGCCCTGCACCCCTGCATTACACCCCTGCCTTACACCCCTGCCCTACACCCCTGCCCTGCACCCCTGCCCTGCACCCCTGCCCTACACCCCTGCCCTGCACCCCTGAGCTACAACCCTGCCCTACACAGTGGTGCTGGTAGGTTGGCACCAGCCTCACTGCTTTCCAGATGAGAATCTGGTTAGAAAGTTTACCACATGACAGTTCCAAGACCACACAGGCCAGAGACATGCCCCTGACAGGAGCACAGTGACCAGTCCTCTTAGGTCCTCTTTGGCTCTGTGGGTGGCCCTGGGGCCTGGCAGGGCAGCCCTGCTCTCACCTGCCGCGATGGCCCCCACCAGGGGCACCAGCATGAGGTTCAGGGGGTAGTTCCAGGGGGCGAGGATGAGCACCAGGCCGTAGGGCTCCTTCCGGATGAAGGCGGAATCCAGCTGTGTGGCCTGTGGGGATGTCCGGTGAGGCCCAGCCCCCTACCCTGAGCCGCCCCAGCCCCTGCTCGCCTAGCTGGCTCACCAGGTTCCTGGGCACCTGCTCGTCCTTCATCCAGGTCCGCAGCTTGCTGAGGGCTAGGCGGATCTCACTCAGGGTGATGCCAATCTCGGACACCTCTGACTCAAAGGCCGACTGTGGGACAGAGGGCAGCGTCAGCAGATGCCCAGGATTTGGGGGGGGGGGGCTGCTCCTGCTCTCTCTTCCTCACCTCCCCCATGATCACTGCTTCCTGTGCCAGGAAACCCAGAGAGAGACCCACCACGGGGGCTCGTGGGGCACGGCTGGCTTCATCAGGGTGGGATAGAGGCTCCAGTGAAGGGGAACAGGAGGGGTCTGGGAGCTGCGCACGCGTGTGTGTGTGTGTGTGTGTGTGTGTGTGAGAGATCAAGATGGTCAGCCCAGGTGACCGTCAAGCATGAGATGAGGAAGGAGGAAGTCCGTGGGTACCTGGAGGCGGCTTGTTCTGGGCAGCGGTCCCAGCAGGTGCAAGGACCCCATGGCCGATGCGGGCTGGGACTCATCTGCTTCGCAAGAAACGGAGCAGCTGAGGCAACGGAGCTAAGCCTGGCAGGGACGGTGCCAGGGGCAGGATTCAACGGGCCTGTCCGTGCCCACTGGGTACAGGAGGCAGGGCCCGGCCGAGCCATGTTCTCACAGCCCACAGTCAGGGGCCACGGTCAGCACGTTTTCAGGGCAGGAAGCAGAAGAAGACAGACCAATAGGGACATTGTGTGCCCTGCCCCCGGCTGCTGGAGGCCAGCTCACAGGCTACAGGCAGCCCAAGGCCACGGCCACGGATGCCAGGCCAGCCTGTCTCTCTGTCCAAGATGGGCCATTACGGGGCTAACTCTGCTTACTCAACACTCCCAGAGCTGGGTGATCTGCCGGGTGGTCTGCCAGAAGAGGGAGGGGCCAGGCAGGGGGGCTCTGGCCCCCAAAAGGCAAAGCCTGGACAGGAAGAGGGAGGGCCCACTGGCACTGCGAGCTGCACCTGTATCCCAGCCTGTGCCGTGCGGGCCAGCCGAGGAGGGATCCCCAGCCCAGGGGCTGCAGCCCCTCACAGGGGGCTGTGTCTGTGGATGCCCGCGGGCTGCTGCCACTCAGGGAAGGGCTGTTGGGGGTTAAGTGGGCAGAAGCTGTGGTTTTTCTGGGCTGCCGATCCGGACTGGGAGGCCGGAGGTGAAATCTGAGTGCAGAGAAAGGACCAGATAGCACAGGGCCCCATGGAGGAGCTGGCAGAGGCTCAAGGATTCAGGGGGGGACGTGCAGTTCCCAGGGAGCCAGCAGCGAAGAGGAGGGGATGGGAAGGGACGCCATGGCCTTTGAAGCCACACCAGGGGACAGGCTTGTGTGCAGGACAGCCTGGGCTCCTGGCACAGCTGCCCAGACAGGCAGGTGGTCCTGGCTGGTGGTGTGGCTAAAGGGTTTGCGTTCAAGGGTTCTGGGACTGCTGCTGGCACTCTGAGGGGCTCCATCCCACATTCAGACAGGGTCACATTGCCCCCCACCAGCCCAGAATCAGCTACCACCAAGACCCTGTGTGGCCCAAGAAGCCCAGGCCTCACTTCCATGCCTGCAGGCTGCATCGGCCTCCTTGTCACCCCTCCCGCCTCGGGGCTCATGCAGGCGCTGTGCCCACTGCCAGGCCCCTCGGGCTCATGCAGGCGCTGTGCCCACTGCCAGGCCCCTCGGCCCACGGGGCCCTTATTCTGTCCTCCTCTTGCTGTCATCCCAAGTCTGAAAAAGTGCCCTGGGCCTGGCTGCCTCTCCCTGTTCACGCTGAGGCTTTCTGTGGCTCCCAGGACCACCCAACGTGTCCCTGAGCCATTTATGGCCACTCCCACGTCCTCAGGTCCTCCGTTGTACCCCCAGAGCCCAGCCCAGGAGCTACACCCAGCAGGTGCTCGGTGGAGAGCTGCTCAACAACATACAGGTGAGTGAATGCAGGATGAACCAGAGCAGGTGGACGAATGAAGGAGTGGGGCTAATGGGCAGCTCCTGGACCCTGGGCCTCCTTTCTGGCTGTCCGACCCCTCCCTCCCCGCGGCCCCGCCCCTCCCCGCGGCCCACCTTGTGCAGGTCCTGGGCCAGCGCGTCCTGCAGGAGCTTCTTGTTGTCCTGCAGGAAGCGGCTCAGGGCCTGCAGCTGCTCAGTCCGGAACTCGGCTGGCCGCGTGCGCCCCGCGCCAAAGGCCTCCCGCAGCCGCCGCAGCGTGTCCTCAAAGGGGTCCATCCTGCGGGTGTGGGGAGACGGGACTGGGCAGTCAGGGCTGCTGGCACCCCGCCACCGCTGGCCGCGCCGGAGCCTGCAGCACCCACGCTGCTCAGGGCATCCCCACGTGTGCAGGATCCACAGGGATGACCCCACACGGGCCGGGGACTGCCTGCGATGCCCCAAACACACCCACGGACCTCAGTCCACGCCCCAGGCTCCTCCCTCGCCGCCCACTCAGGCCCCGCCCACCCTAGTCCACGGCCCTGCCCACTGCACCCCTGCCTGGCCTGAGTGGACCTGCTGCCACCACAGCCACCACCAGCAGAACACACAACATGCTCCGCCTCACCCCCCTCCCTGCCCCCTCCCTGCTGACTCAGTTCTTCATTTGGGCCTCAGTGTGCTTGCCCCAAACTCCTGTTAGTGGGGTGGGGTACTTTCCCCAGCGGACAGCGTGTTCCCGGAGAGGAGGCTGCGTCCGCTCTGAGCCTGCCCTACTGGGAGCTGCTGCTCCTGAGTGGCCACGCTGAGCAATGAGGGCCCAGCCCGCTCCGGCCCTCCAGACCACCAGGCTGACAGGTGTGGGGAGCAGGGGCCACTTCCAGCTGCCCTGCCCACACCTGCTGCCCTGGCCTGCAAGGCACAGGATGAACCCAGCATCCTTAGAGGGGTCCACAGAGAGGGGCAACAGACAGGACGGACAGCCTCCAGGGCCTGTCTCTTATGCAGCCTCTGCCTCAGTTTCTCCATCTGTAAAGTGGGGCTGATCACAGCATGGGACTCCCACATGCCTTCCTTCTCACGCTGCCCTCACCCTCAAGCTTCTGTGGATGAATGTGCCAGCTTCTCCAGTCTCCTCAGAACCCACAAAAAATGCAAACTGCGTGCTCTAAATGGGGGCTGGGGCACCACGTGGGGGTGCAGCCTGCAGGGAACATTCCAGCCCACGCGCCTAGCAACCCCAAGAGGCCAGCTTAGGCCCGAGGGCAGGGCAGGATGCATTGTGTCCTGCACGCTGTCTGCCCAGGCATGCCCTGCGGGGGTGCCAGGAGGAACCTGTGGCTTGTGACCTCACAAGGGGGCTGACCAGCCCGGGCAGGTTTCGGGCACTGAGCCGGCCTGGGCCCGAGCCCCTACCCATACCACCCCCACCGCTGGCATCTCCCCCTGCCTGCCCACAGCCGCAGCCCAGCGGGGTTGCCCTGGATCCATTCCAGGCACAGAGAGGGCGAGAAGAGGCCCCAAGCCTGCCCAGCTCCACACTGGGAAGCCTCTGGTGTGTGGCTTCCTGCCTCTAGCCTGGGCAGGAGCGGGACGGCCAGGGAGAGAAGTTCTTGGTCTGGGGCCTGACCACAGCCTAGGCCTGGGCACATGGGCGGGAGGCGCAGGTGAGGACAGGAATGGCAGCACCCCCGCCTGCCTTGGGCCTGGAACTTCCTCTAACATCCAGTGCCAGGTGCTTGCTGGGAGTGCCAGGGGTGGGGGTTAGGGCTGGCCCCCGGGTAGGAGAGGGGGCACTGTGGTGTAGGCTCCAGTCCCAATGACAGATGCAATAGCCAGATCTGGGGTGGGAGATCTGACCTCTCTGCCTCCCTCTGCCCATCTGTGAAATGGGCAGGATTCTGCAGCCCAGTTGGGAGCAGTTGCCCACGAAGCTTCATCGGAGCTCTGTCACCTGGCTCAGTCCTGAGGCGTGAGGGGCAAGGGGCGGAGGCTGCAGGGACCCGAGGGGACCTGGACCCAGTGTGAGTGCCAGGGGAGGGAGGCATGGAGCTCATGCTGGGACACAGGTGACAGAGTGGAGGGGACTTGGTGACCTGAAGTCCCCCCAGGCCCCACTGTCCCAGGGTCTCGGCCCTCCAGCCTCCTCCTTCGGCGGTTCACCAGGTCCCCCAAAGCTGGAAGTAGGCCCCTTTTTTCCCAGGGGGCGCTGGTGGAGGGGTGGGGACAGCACTGTCCCTTGGCTGTGAGTCAGACCCAAGCGCCTGGGTCCTCCCTCCGGGACCTTGACAAAGTCCACGGCGAAGGAGTGTGTCTCGGGTGCTGCCCCAGCACCGGGGTGCACAGCACCCCCGGACCTGTGGCTTCCCTGGGGCTGCTGAAGGAGCGGGCGGTTCCACAGGAGGCTGCCCCTGCAGTGCAGGACCCCCGGCTGCTGTCGCCCCCGCCCGCCCCCTCATTCCTGTTCCTCCAGTCAGCTGGAGGCTGAGCTCATCTGGGACAAGGCGGCCTGTGTGCGGCGTGAGCGGCCAGGCTCTTGGAGACCACCCGGAGTTGCCGGGCTGCACCCCAGCGCTGACAGCCCCATCCTGCGGCCCAGCCCTCCCGGGACCCGGTACCTGAGGCCCTGCCAAGCCGCCGTGCCGTGCCCTGCTCTGCCCAGCCACTCTGCTGTTATGAAATACGAAAAGTGCCGGTCCCGGCCAGCCCCTGGGCGGGGCCGCTCTGGCCTGCTGCCCGGCCTTGGCTCTGGGCCCCACGAAGCCTATGGCCTAGGGCTTTTGACACTAGCTTCCTCCAGAGCCTGCTGGACCACAGAGCAAGAAGCAGCGACCAGAGAGAGGTCGGCCCCAGGTCAAGGGCCGCATAGCAGGGGCTGAGCTCAGAACCCCTGGCCCTGGGCATGGAGCAGGGAGGGCTCTGCTTGTGCCTGGACCCCTTCCCCCCAGGGCCTCCCCACTCTGGGCCTCCATTGCCCCACCCATAGCTGAAGCGACCCTGGGCCGGCCGGCGTCTTCTCCCACCAACTCGGGGGCTGTGTGCACCACCCGCTCCAAGTCCCAACCCCACATATCTTATCTGTGTCTCTCCACGCCGCCCTACAGACTGCCACGTCACCAGGACTCAAGTCACCCTGGGGCCTGACGCAAGACAGGTACCCCCTCTGCACCCCTCCCAAGTGTGTGGCTTCTCGCCCGGAGCAGGGGAGGTCGAGCTGAGCCTCCAGCCATCAGGACAACATTCGTGCCATCGCCTCCAAGGTGGCCTGCACAGTTGGTTGTGCTGCAGCCTCAGGTTGCTGGCTGGGGACCTCCCCACCTGGCTCCATCCCCATCACCACCTGGCACCCCTGGCAGAGCCAGCACTACAGAGATGAGTCCCCAAGCACCTGCTGGTGTGACAGGCGGGCGATTGGGTTACGGGCTGGGGAGGGAGGGGCACCCTTTGTGCCACTCTCGGATGCTGTGCCCTGGGTGTCCCTGGGCTCCTGGCCTCAGGGCCTCTGAGCCGACCTGGCACCTGGGAGACGCTCGTCTCTGTCCGCTGTGGCTCCCTGGCCTACCTGGGAGGGCTTTGTCGGTCCTCACCCATGCTGCGAGCCCCTGCAGGAGTGACCGTCGGGGCAGGGACGAGGGGCGAGGGGCTATGGAGGCCCCCTGCATGCGTGGGATGCAGCCCCTGGCCTCCGCCCATCACGTGGCTCGGCATGTGACAGCCCCGCTCTGCTGCTCGCTGGAGCTGAGCCAGGCAGAAGCCATGGCAGGGCGAGTGACAGGCGACAGGCGGAGCCAGGGCTGAGCCTGCAGCTCTCCGACAGGAACAGAGCCCAGAGAGGGGCGGCTGCTGGCCCCAAGCCACGCAGCAAAACCGCAGATCTGCCTGGAAAGGAAACAGTGAGTGGAAGCTACATCAGGCCCCACTTTTGGTGTCCAGCATCCCCTATGCAGGGCCAGAGCTTGTCAGCCCAGAGCTGGGCTGCAGGAGGCCCAGTACACCTGTGTTCCAGGGACAGGGGCTCTCATGTGTCCAGGGGCCATGGACTGTTGGACCACAGGACCGAGCCCTCCTCTTGCTTGCTGCTGCTCAAGGCTACAGGAGCTGGGGAGGTAGGGTAGAGAGCGTGGTACGGGGTGCTCTCTGTGAGGGTACCCCAAAGTCCGGCCCAGGGCCTGCCAAGGGACAGGGGGCGGGCAGGGCACTGATCTCAGCACCTCCCGTGAAGGGGCTGCTAACGCCGCTGTGTGATGGGAACATGACGGCTGATGCGGAGCCATCTCCTGCCCGGCCCAGGGTCCTCGTCCTGCTGCTTGTCTGTGTGACCCTGTGTCTCTCATGGCTGTGACATGGGAAGAGTGGTGGGACATATTCCCGAGTGACGAGGGAGTGACATCCGTGGGCTGGACTGCCACACATACGTGCCCAGTCCCTGAAAGGAGACTAGGAGCCACCAACCAGTCTCCTGCCTTGCCACCACCCACCCCCGGTGTTGGGTAAGATTGGCAGGGGGCAACCCTGTGACTCTCCCGGTCACTTTGTCACCGCAGAGTGTGGCCGGTCCCTGGCCATGTGACACCTGGGCTGTGCAGATCTCCAAAACCGGGAGCCAGAATCACCCTGCTCACCTCAGAGCTGGCCCTGCCTGTGGTCTCGCACTATTGGCAACAGAAAGCAAGCTGCAGTGTGAACACACGCACACCTCACCTCTGGGTAAACAGTCCCCAGGGCGCTTAGAGCTCGGGCACCGGCAGGGACAGCACTGCCCAGGGACGCCTGCCCGGCAACTGCCCCTTCAAACACTGGCCGGCCCTGTCCTTACTGCTAATTCCCATAGCCCAGGAACCGTATTTTATACCGTTTATAAAATGTCCCCCTGCCTCCTGCAGGTCTGGACCATGCCTCGCTGACCCCTGCTCAGTCCATTGAGAAAGTCTGACTCCTGTGGTGGCCGGGGGTGGTGGGGAAGGGTGTCCCCAACAAGGAGTGTAGCCCCCAGGCCCTGTCGGACCTGACTTGGGGGTGTTTGCCTGCGATGAGGGACTACAATAATAATTAAATAAAGAGCATTAAAGATAAGTCACTTCAAAATTACTTTCATTTATTCTTGTCTTGTCTTTTTTTTTTTGAGAGGAAGACGGAGAGAGCTCCTCCACCTGCTGGCTCACTCCCCAAATGCCCGCAGCGGCCAGGGCTGGGCCAGGCCGAAGCCAGGAGCCAGGCGCTCCAGCTGGGTCTCCCCTGGGGTGGCAGGCACCAGGAAGGAGTGACTGATGCGAGGCCCAGCCAGCACGCCCCCCTCCACCGCCCCCCCAAGCCCTGAAGGGAGCACAGAGAAGCCTGGTTCCCACCCCTCCCCTGTTCCCGAGGGCCCAAACACAAGGGTCTCAGGGGGGTTGGGGGATCTTCCTACATTGCATTCACCGAGCCCACACTCCACAGCCATGTGGCCCACCTGGCAGCCCCTGCCCTCCTGGGGCATCCAAACCCCTGTCCCCCTCCCGAACTAGCTCCACCCCTGACTTTGCCGTCACCCGCGGGGGTGCACCCGAGTGTCCACCCTGACCATGGCCTCGGGGTGTCCACCACACACTTCCTCTCGCTCCTGCCCAGCCCCCGCCCCCTTGCCTGACCCTCCCTTAGCTCCCACTTCTGCGTGGCCGCCTTGGGTGGGGATCTGCTTAAGCCCACTGGCCCCCGGCGTCACGTCCTGATCCCAGCGGGGAGTGCCTGCCCTCTGCCCGCTGTCTCCGTCTAGCTGGTCAAGCTTCCCAATCCGACGGAGCGCCCCGCACACCTGCCCTGACGGCTTCAGGGAGCAGCAGGAGCGGAGTGGGAGGAAGCAGTTCCTGCGTTCTTTTATTTTTACATTTCTTTTTATTGATTCCAGAGGCACTAAGTTAGATGGAGCTCTCAAGTGTTGCCAAATGCCCAGGGTACAAGCCGGGTCTCCCACGGGTGGCAGGGACCCAGCTCCTGGAGCCGCCACCCGCTAGTTCCCGGGCACTGCAGGGCACTCGGATGCACAGTAAAAGCAAAAACCAAACACAGACAAGCGTCCCAGCAGGCTCGCTGAGGAGGGCACCACAGTGAGTTACAAGTTTCGTGTTGTAAGTTCCTTACCAGTCTTTGTAAAGCACAGCCTTTTTTCCCCCTTAAAAAAAAATATTTATTTAGGGCCTAGTGAGGTAGCCTAGCGACTAAAGTCCTCATCTGGCATGCCCTGGGATCTCATACGAACGCTGGTTCATGTTCTAGCTGCTCCATTTCCTCCAAGCTCCCTGCTTGTGGCCTGGGAAAGCAGTGGAGGACGGCCCAAAGCCTTGGGACCTGCACCCGCGTGGGAGACCTGGAGGAAGCTCCTGGCTCCTGGCTTCAGATCAGCTCAGCTCTGGCCTTGTGGCCACTTGGGGAGCAAACCTGCAGATAGAAGATCTTTCTCTCTGCATCTCCTTCTCTCTGTAAATCTGACTTTCCAGTAAAAATAAAATCTTAAAACAGTATTTATTTACTTACTTACTTTTAATACTGTTTACACAGTTGAGAGGCCGTGGGCCTCTGATGGGGGTGGGGTGCCAGGTGTGAAGGAAGGCGGTGGGACACGTTTCAGCCTTTTTTCCTTTGTTTTTCTCGTGTGTCTGCATTGGAGACAGAGGGGCCGCTCCTTTCTTGGTGAGAGCTCTTGTCTCCTGGCTCCTGGCTTCAGATCAGCACAGCACCGGCAACTGCGGTCACTTGGGGAGTGAAGCATCGGACGGAAGATCTTCCCCTCTGTCTCTCCTCCTCTCTGTATATCTGACTTCGCAATAAAAATAAATAAATCTTTAAAAAATTAAAAAGAACAAGTCCACCTTACGGCATCCACACGCCCAGACACTTGCTGCAAAGCTTGGCCAGGAAAATTGTCAGGCCTGTTCTGCTTTCTGTCCTCTGACGGGGCAGTCAGCGCCCCCTGCTGGCCAAGGGGAGCTGGTGGTCATGTCCCCTGTGCATCTGGCCATGCTGGCCACTGCACAGGCACCGGCACCTGCAGAGGCCCGGTCCAAAGTCAGACCACACATCCTGTGATTTGCCCTGTGCCCGGACTCTGAGTCCAGTGGTCCAGTAGGGGAGTCTCTCAAGGAACCTCACCTAGGTGACTTCAAATTTGTCAGGTGAGTCCTGGGGTCAGCCTGGCTTGGCCTGTCACCGCCCAGGCTGTCCGTGTAAGCTGACAGGACCTACAGCCCCTTGAGGCGAGCCCACAGTTCCCGTATAGAATCTCCTCCCCACCCCACCTGCTCTGACACTCATGGGCAGGTACTACGGCCCAGCCAGGCATGCTGCCCACTACGGCCTGGCCCGGCTGAGCACGCCCCCCACCATGGCCTGGCCCGGCCGGGCACGCCCCCCAGTGCCAGCTTCTGTGAGTGCCAGCAGGGATTCAGCCCAGCTCCAGTCTCCCATGTGGTGGATAGGTACCTAGGCCCGACCCAACATGCCCTCCTGTCTCCCCCAACCCCTAAACACTCCATCTCAGCTCCCTTGCCTATCTTCTGTGGAAGACCCCAGAAATCATTCCTCCCCTGTCAGAGGTACCCTCAGCCACTCCCACATGTCCGCAGGCCCCTCCCCAGGCGCTCTGCAACTCCTCAGCCTGAGGCCCAGATGCGTGTCCCAGTCCAGAATTCCCTGCCTTCCTCATTTATCTTAAACAGAGAGAGCGCTACCGAGCGAGAGAGAGCAAAAGAAACAAGAATAAGGAGGCCCAGGACGCCCACCAGCTGCTGGCTGCGTTTCTCCAGGCAGGGCAGGACTTGCCCAGGTACACGGCAGCCCAGGCAGTTACCTGAGACTGGGGCTAAATCCTCGCCTTGAATCTGTTAGGATCGCATATGGGCACCGGTTCATGTCCCAGCTGCTCCACTTCCCTTCCAGCTCCCTGCCTGTGGCCTGGGAAAGCAGTCGAGGGCGGCCCAAGATCTTAGGACCCTGTGCCTGTGTGCGAGACCCGGAGCTCCTGGCTTCAGATCAGCTCAGCTCTGGCCTTTGCAGTCACTCGGGGAGTGAACCAGCTGACAAAGGATCTTTGTATCTCCTTCTCTGTGTATCTGCCTTTCCTCTAAGAATAAATAATCATAAAATTTAAAAAATATTTATTTATTTTTGGATTTATTTATTTTTACTGGAAAGGCAGATATGCAGAGAGGAGGAGAGGCAGAGAAAGATCTTTCGTCCACTGATTCAATTCCCAAGCGGCTGTAATGGCCAGCACTGCGCCGACCTGAAGCCAGGAGCCAGGAGCTTCTTCTGGGTTTCCCACACGGGTGCTGGATGGGAAGCGGAGCTTTCGGGACACATACTGGCACACATATGGGATCCTGACACATGGTGAAGACTTCAGCCAGTAGGCTACCATGCCCGGCTCAATCTTTTACATTAAAAAATCCATTTATTTATGTATCTATCTATCTATCTATCTATCTATCTATCTATCTATCTATCTATCTATCTATTTATTTATTTTTACTTTCTTTGAAACACAGGGAAATAGAAAGGTCCAGAGTTCCATCTGGTATCCCTTGTGGGTCGCAGGAACCCCAGTCTGGCCTCCTCCACCATTGCTAATCCCCTCCACGCGGCGGGCGCGCATTGGCAGGAAGGGGGCGTCAGGCACAGAGGTGGGAATCTGGTGTAGGGTGGTGGGGACCCTCAGGTGC